GTACCGTACGCTCATGAGATTTGACGTCACTAATGCGATAACGATCAAGCTCAGCGACAATGATGAGGAACACGTTTCACTATTAGATTTCAGTATTTTTTAGCAATTTTCTTCAAAGTTTGAATACGCTTTTCTCGATTATTACTGGACACAGAAAGGTGAAAAAAGAATCAACGATTACAGAAAAATAAACTCTTTCAACTGATGGGCGTGAAAAGTTTGGTTATAATAGAACGTTAAACAGTATAATCCAATTTTTCAACAGAAAATTCAAAAAAATAAAAAAAGTAAAACCATCAGTTTAAAGGCAACATAATTTCGTATAACATGTCCAAATTTCGAGACATTTCGTCGGTAAATAACAAAGAAAAAATTTTGGTGCACCGATAAAACAGCCTTAATTGATAATTTACTGTACAAGTTCCTATGGACCTTGTTTGACAGTGACAGTTGTTATATAAGCTAACAATAGTCTTGTCCAGTGTCTTGTAAAAAGTGCCGATTAAAGCAAAGTGCTTGTGAGAAACAAGCTTTTTATTGTGATATTTTTCATCACATGCATGTTTGGAAGTTCATTTGCATAAAAATCAAATAAAAAATTGAACCGCCAAAAAAATTTGTCGATAGAAGAGGTAGTGCGAGCATAGACCCTCCTAGATGAAGGATATTCAATGCGATTCAATGCAGGTTTGTTAGGAAGACATCATACCAGCATTAATCGCAAGGTGATCGTACCATCGAAGACCAGGGCAAGGGCGAAAACGTTGCACTAATCAAATGATCGTTTTTTGAGACAACATGCTTTCAGAGATAGGAGAATCACCAGCAATTTGCTAAAAAATGAACTAGCAGACGTTCGAAATCTCGCGATATTGTCTCGAACAGTTAGAAGACATTTACATGAAGCAGAATTGAGCAACAGGAAACCGGCCAAAAATCTTGCTTACTAGAGAACACAGGGTTCAGAGATTGAATTTTGCAAGATTGCGTCAAAATTGGACCATCGATGATTGGAAACGAGTTCTTTTCTCCGATGGGGCTACAGTAAGCCTAAAACTACAGATGCTCGTGAGCGTGTCTGGCGGAAGCGAGGAGAAAGGTTTGCCAGCAGCAATATCTCTCCTAAAGTACCTTTTGGTGGTGGCTTTAAAATGTTTTAAAGCTCGTACGGAGTTAGTCCCTATACGTACGAGATCTATGAATGCCCATTATTACTTAGACAACATTATTGTCGAACATGCCTTTGCTCCGTTTCTTGGACATAATTTTTTATTCATGCAAGACAACGCTCATCCTCATGTGGTTCGACAGGTTATTGGCTACCTAAATAATGTTGATATTCCATTATTAGAGTGGCCACCTAACAGTCAGGACATGAATCCTATAGAGCATCTATGGGACTATCTCAAAAGAAACATTCAAAGTCGTAGACTACCTATTGCCAAACACAAACAAGTCATTAAGGCCGTTATTGAAGAATGGGAGATTATCCGCCAGCTTTTGTTGAACATTTGATATTAACCATGCCTCAACACATAAATGCAGTCATAAGAAATAGAGAAAAGGGCCTACACGGTATTTGTGTTGACCCAGATGCATTTTATTGTGTTACTTCACTGATTTTTTTCTTTTTGCAATTTGGAATTATGCTTAGCTCAAAAACAAATTTTTAAAGAGACAATAAGGCAAATTAACCCTTTAATCGGCAAAATAGAAATAGGGGATTAAACTTTCTGAAAATTTTGGTTTCGGGGTAATTTTGGTAAATGAAACACGAATAGAAAGTCCATTTTTCGATATCGTTATTGAGTCAGTCACAAAGTGAAAAAGAAGAATGCCGGCCATACGGCCGGTATATCGTTCTATAGGGGAAAATGAATTAGTCCTTTTTTGTTGCTTATAAAAACATTTAATTTTTTATTGATATAAACTTGATAAAAAAAATTAACAGGTAAATACTAAAAAATGAAATATATTAACGACGGACGTGGTAGTCTTTCCAACAATTCTTGGCACCGGAATAACATAAATGCAGTTGACATTTCGGGCAGAAAGTGTGTGTTTCCGATTTCTTGCAGTATTTGCAGGACTTTTTACGACCTGGAATCCATTCAGGAACATGATCAACTCCATCGTAACGTACATCTTCAACAGGATGCGCTGCCTTGTTGCCAGTATTAGTACTATTAGTAGTGAGCGGTGAGTTTGAAGGTCGACCAATGGGTCTTTTCTGAACAGAAGAGCACAGACCTTGAGCAATTTTCACACGAAATTGGAATAGTCTCATGTTTTTTTCTTTTGAAGTTCCTTCTTCTTTGAAATCTGTTTTCGCAGCATCCTCATTATGTGATCTGCGATACAATATGAACGCATTTGTGACAGCCATATCCAGAAAATGGTAAAAGATGCGTGTCATTGCATCCATTGTTTTAATGCGCAGTCCACTTCGTCCCATATGCGAGTCCATGAGGTCAACTCCTCCCATATGCGAATTGTACTCACGAATTATTTGGGGGTAGTCGACATCAATGTATTCTTTCTTTCTTTTGTCGTAACGAGTCGTTTTTGCTATCTGTTTGTCTGGATTCAATTTCTGAAATGGTTGGACCCCAACGTAAGTTGAACAAAGTTTTACGTTTTTGGTATCTTTCCAGAGGACAGTGGTAAGGTCCACACCATATGCACAACCCATATACTCCACTGCGTAACCCCGTTCGGCGTTTTTGATTTCTCTATCTGCATCCAGCGGAAGTTTACAATTGGGAATTCTATTTGCACGTATTGTCCCCAGTCCAAAGATTCCACGAGCTCGTAAATAAACTAAAAGGGGCAACGATGTGTAAAAATTGTCACAGTAAACGATATGGTTTTTGAAATTTGGAATTGTTTGTGACAACCTAATAACAACGTTGCTGGTAGCTCCGAGGTCTGGTGTTCCTGGCACGATGATGTTATCTCCAGCACCATTATATATCTCGAATTGGTACGAATATCCCGTGGTATCGCACAGTACAAACAACTTTATTCCCCATTTATGGGGCTTGTTCGGCATGTACTGGCGTAAATGGTGCGCCATTTTTGTCGAACACATTTGCTCGTCAACACATAACCGCGCATTCTTTGGAACGGAATTGAAGCGTTCATTTAAAATATTGGCAACTCTTCTAATTCTAAAAAGCGAATCATGTCCAGGTTGTCCTTTTTGAATACGCTCCGCTTCATTAGCAAAACACAAATATTTTTTTATCCGTTCAAATTTCTTTAATGGCATACACTGAGGAATTTGTCTAAATCCGAATTCTCCCCAGTGTGACTCCATGTTGGGATAACGAAAAATAGACATGTATAATAGAATTCCGATGTATCGTCGAATCTGCACCGCATCAACGTTGAATTGTGTGTTTATGTCTTTCAAACGTGCGTTTTCGATTGGTTTCACAAACAATCAGGTCGATGAGTTCATCCGTGAAAAAATAACAAAAATACTCCATTGGTGTCTTCAGATTCTTTACAGTATACGGCAATGTAGTGTTTCCTCGAAATGCGACTTCATTGACATGCAATTGCATTGACTTTTTTCTCCATACAATTTTTGTGAACTCTGCTGAATTTTTGTCGATTGCATCCAAGCCTGAAAGAAAAAAGAGAAAAAAATTAGTATGGCATTATGACTTTCCGTGTTTTATTAGCATACCTGTGCCAGTGAAGCCACCCGCTGATGGTACTATATGTGGTCCCGTAGCTTCTACAGTTGGTAACGGGGATCTGGGTCTTTTCTTTGGTTTGAATTTAGTGGTTGTCGGTAGTTGTGTGGAAGTTGATGCAATTGGTTCTTTTGATGATAACCGTACGGATGATACTGAAACGTCCATTTGAGTATCCGGATCAGTTGTTGAAACTTCTGGTGATATAGTTTCGGATATTATAAGTTCCGGCAAAGTTAATGTTGCCGTTTCAGAAGTAAATATATTTACATGTGATTCTGAAACACCCACTAAATCTTCACTAACATCAGTGATATTACTTAGCTCTAACGGAGGGTCCATGGAGAGCTCCAAATCAGTGATATTTTCACGTAAACAAGAAGAAATCATCTCATCGTCCTCGGCTGTGAGCACATCCGCCTTGTAGTCATAATCCGGATCGGCTATGCTATCATCATCATCTTCGTAAACTGACTCGTCATCTGAATCCAGATTAGAGTTCATGATTTCGTCGATTTGTTCATCGGTTATTGTGGAAAGATCGTATTTTGTCCTCTTTTCCGCGTCTGTCAGCTCGTGATACCTTTTCGCACCATACTTTCTTCGTCTTTGAGATCTATTATTTTCCATGTTCTACGATAGAAAGAAAGAAATGTATAAATAATAAAAGTATAAATAATACAAATATGTACTTTTATTCAAATACGCGGAGAACTTATTTTACCGTACATCGGCAAGCCGGCCGAAAGGCGGGTATCACTCCACACTCAAAAACCAGTACTAATTTTATATTTTTCACCAAATATTCCAGCAAACTATCAAACACATACTATAAGTACTTACCAAAAAAAAATGAAATCAATTGGACAACTAGAACTATTTTATTTTACGGTTCGATTACACGTGTTCCAGAGCAATAATTTCTCCGTACGATTCACTTGCTTGCTTACACGTAACTGACCATATCTCTCAATTAACTGAACCTACAGCTTTTAAACCGTTACTGTTGGACGAGTCTATTCTTGCCGAAAAGCGGTGTAGTCGACGTGAAAGCAAATAAATTTTACATTTTAAAATAATTCGGTTATTTTAATGCCGGCCTTATGGCGGGATTACCGATTAAAGGGTTAAGGTCATGATAAAGTCATCTTGGACTTATTTTTTAGGTGTTTATTAATATTTCAATGTAACTTAGTTTTATTTTGTGTTCATATTGTAATTATTTAGATTAATTAAAGAGGTGCGTTAATTTTGTCCAGGAGATATAATAACCTAAAGTTATGCATCCTGTTTCAGAGTATCTCAAGCACAAATTATGGGTACAATTTCAATTGCGAACTCACTGGCGTTTTCTCCGAACTTTGCGAAAGGTGTAGCAGCAGCAAAAAAAGTTAAAAGCTTTCTTTCTAGAATTCCACTCATTCGTGATTTACCTTCTTCACGAAAAATGGATAAGGTAAAAAAGTTTCTATTTTTATTGGGCCAACTATGTTAGTTATAAAATCTAGTAAATACTTCGGGTTTAAATAAATCTTATTTTGATAATTTACATTTTTTTAACTTCAACTTTAACTTCATATATTACGACATAAAACACCGAAAAAAAATATAATACAGTTTGCGTCTACATATGCCCACCTTCATTTAATTGTTTTCTAGGCAATAAAATTCAATGAATCCTTTTTGTTGATTGAAGTAAACACTGTCACTTGTACATTGCTTTTATAATTTGTTAGTGATGTAATCGTTTAAAATGGGGGTAGATTGGGGACGCTATTTTCTTAAATCTATGTTAAATGGGATTATATGACAAGTAATACTTTGTTTGAAAGGTCGTATGACAGTACGTTTTTAGATTTTTAAGCGAATATTATGGGCTGTTTTAAAATAACGATCGTTTAAGTATAAACTTGAACTAATAATATAATAATTTTCAGCTCATAAGGAATGTATCTGGTTTTCACTTTTGTATTGGGGATTTTGTTAAAAAAATTCTAATATTTACACCTATATAAAAATATTTCTCCATTAAGGATTTTAAAATGGTTAATATAGAAAGTTACAGAATACAACAAGCCATTGATATTAATGTTTGTACACTTTGAGAAAGCGTTTGACTCAGTACAGCATAGCTCCATGTTAAGAGCTCTTACAGAGTGCAGTATTGATCATAGGTACACAACTCTTCTTCGGAATTTATATCATAGCTCAACAGCTGCAGTTAGAATGTATTATGGCAACACATATACATTTGTCTTCGAGAGGGGTATTAGACAAGGAGATACCATCTCTCATAAACTATTCACCGCTTTGTTGCAGAGTGCTATGAGAAACAATGATTGGGAGAATATTGGAGTCAACATAAATGGAGAATTTCTGAACAACTTGAGATTTGCACACGACATAGTCCTTATTGCAGACCGAGTAGATCATGCCTGCCAGCTTCTTCAAGACCTACAGAGCTCGTATACACGAGTTGGACTTAAAATTAATTTTTCCAAAACACAATATATGACCAACCTTGTACTGGCGATAATCAAACAACGGAGCTAAACAGGAAAATAGGACTGGCATGGGCGGTTTACGGAAAACTGAGAGAAGTCTTTAGATCAGATATTCCCATGTACTTGAAAAGAAAGGTCTTTGATCAATGTGTACTCCCCGTTCGAACGTATGGAGCAGAAACATTGACCCTTACCAGAAAAGTAATCAATAAAATACAAGTGGCACAGAGACACCAGTACACCTATTTTGGGATACGGAGATTCCATATTTGATATTTGCAATGTTGCCAGATTTGTCGTTTTTTTTATATTATTAATAACTTTGGTTTTTCAAATTCAACACTCTGTATATTCACTCATTATTGGAATCTCCTTTTCAATACGAGTTCAAACATATGTAACACTTATGATTTTATGTAGTCTGGAAGATCTTAAATACATAAAACAGAAGTCTGACAAACTCCTGATTGTCTCAATAAATTTTTTAATACTAACTATTTTTAACTACATTAAAACGTAACAATTGATAGATTACAACATTTTTTAACACAATGGTTACTTTATCAAGTGTTCAAAATATGCTCCATTTGTGAGTTGACAGTACTCTAATCGATGTTAGAATGCGTCTACCACATTTTTCCATGATTGTCTAGAATTTATTCGAGATTCATCGATTTTCGTTGCCTTAGTTCTGCGAGACTTGCTGGTTTAGTTTTGTAAACTGAATTTTTCAAGTACAAAAATTGTTACATTTTAATGTAGTTGAAAAGATTTAGTATTTAAAAATTTGTTGAGACAATTAGGCGTTGCCAGACTTTATGTTTTATGTATTTAAGATCTTCCAAACTACATAAAATCATAAGTTTTACATATGGTTGAACTCGTATTGAATAGGAGATTCCAATAATGACTGAATATACAGGGTGATGAATTTGAAAAACCAAAGTTACTAATAATATAAGATAAACGGCAAATCTGGCAACATTGCAAATATTAAATATGGAATCTCCGTATCCTAAAATAGGTGTACCTTAAATTTTGTACAATTATAACTAGCAATTCACGAGATAATTAGCCGTTTCCAGACTTTTGGGCCACTCGGTATATGTTAACTTTATATAAATTTGTTTCAGGCAACTGGCGACTTCAGTTTTTCACAAATTGAATTTACATATCCAACACGACCTAACGTATTAATTCTAAAAGGACTTAATTTGGATATTTTAAATGGAAAAACTGTAGCGCTAGTGGGAGAAAGTGGTTGCGGAAAGTCTACGATAATTCAACTCATTGAGAGATTCTATGATCCTAAGTCGGGAGAAGTAAAAAATGGATGGTGTAGACTTAAAAGATATATCACTAGATTCGTTGAGGTCGCATATGGGTATAGTATCACAAGAACCAAATCTTTTTAATAAATCTATTGCTGAAAACATTGCTTATGGGGATAATTCGAGGGAGGTTCCTATGGATGAGATAATTCAAGCTGCCAAAAATGCAAATATTCATAATTTTATAACAGGATTACCTAAAGTGAGTAAAACATAAATACATTTATTAAATAACTTACACGATTTTATAAGAAAATATTTACTGATTTAATTTCAAATATAAAAATTTTAATACTAAAAGATATTTTTTGCAAATAACGTATGTCCCTAAAGTTTTCGGAAAATTTTAGATTTAAAAGTGTTGGTAGGAAGCATTGAAGAAATACTGTTTATTAAGATTTTTGCCCTCAGGTACTGTCCAAGCAATATTCTTGCATTCTTTTTAGATGACCGAGCCATTCTAGTCTACGTTTTTCACCACTTTTGTTATTGTAGAGTTAGCATACAAATGGTACACTTCTGCATTAGTTCGTCTTTTTCACCAAATATTCTGCGAAGTATGTTTCTTTCTTATGCTTCCAATGTGTTCTGTATGGTTTTGTTCATAGTCTATGTCTCGGCAGCGTATAGCATTTGGGTCTAATTATAGTTTTGTATACTCTAACTTTTGTATTACGAGATATATCTTTGGCCTTATGCTCATGGGTTCAGCACACCTATTGCTCTTGGTCAGTCTCAGGTTGGTTTCAGTTTCTTCCTTACATGTCTGATCAATAAGAGTCCCTAAGTACATATATTCATCCACCTTCTCGAATGCTACAACTGATCCATCCTCCACCTCCAATTTAAAGGATCCCCTAGTATTTATTCCGTTTTAGCTCGAAATCTCCATATACTTTGATTTATTAATATTAACGTTCAGTCCCATTTTAGAGCTTTCCCGAGTCAGTCTTTTTGCTATATTTGATAGTTCTTTTCCATTTCTTGCAATGAGAACCACATCATCAGCGTATGCTAAGCACTGGTGGTACTTGTATAAAATAGTTCCAGACCTATTTATCCCATTAACTCTCACAATTTTTTCTAGAACTATATTGAATAGCAATGTAGACAACGAGTCTCCTTGGCGAACACCTTTTTTCATTTCGAATTCTTCTGTACGCATGAGACTGTACCGGACTGAATCCGGATTCACTCCCCGCCTCTCGACGCGTTAGTGTTCTGAGCTGTTGGACGTGAATCCCTGTCCTGGCATTTGGTTTTCACCTCTGGCTGTGTTAAGTAGTTGAGTTACTGTGACCAAATGCCCATCTTGGTAGTTAGTATTCGCCTCTGGTTGCGTTGAATAACTGAGTTACCGTTGCTAACTACCCATCTTCCTGTCTTTTGATTTCTTTTTCTTTTTTCTTTGTTCTCCTGAAGAAGCTACATACAATTGTAGCGAAACGTCGAGATGAACCCACTTTTGGGTCACTCACAAATGACACGGTCCAAACCCGGAAGATGAATAAACTATAATTCTGACTCTGGCCGTGGAAGCCTACGATTTCATTTGAAAAGTACTTGTCCTGAAATGTTGTATCACTGTATATGTAACCACGCGCTATTTGACATTACAGCCACGGGTGCGTCATACAGAGGAGTCGAACATAGGCACACTTCCCTACCCAAATGACCTATCTAAAATAAATCATTACAATCTTCACATTTTAAAAAAACAAACTAATATTAAATTTTCTTCTTGTGAGTATTCTACTATACCACTTTACTTTTGAATTTTTTGTAGGGATATGAAACCAAACTAGGAGAAAAGGCTGTTCAGTTGTCTGGGGGGCAAAAACAAAGAATTGCAATTGCCAGAGCGTTAGTAAGAAATCCAAAAGTTTTACTTCTTGATGAAGCCACATCTGCACTGGACACCGAAAGTGAAAAGGTAACCGATATTTTTTATGTGTTATTAATAGTACATTGTTTACCGGGTAGGAAAAGCTTAACATTCCTGGACGACTGTGAAGATTGCTAAGTCGGGGCGCAAGCCGAGACTTAGCAACACAGAGTCCAGGAATGTCGCTTTTCCTACGAGGTAAACATACTATTTTTCCGCAAATCGTTTAAAATTCGACAGATATTGATTGATTTAAAAAAAACGCGATAATTTTATTCCCAAATAAATGGTGCTTTGAAATTCCTAATAAAATTACTTGGGTTACTATGGAAACGTATTGAGGTTTTATATCTATCATTTATGTACACTTCATCTAATTTATATAACGATGCACGTCATCGGCGTCATAGCCTGTGACGTCACATGATACCAACACAAAATATTTAGGGTGTAGGTGTGTTCTTTTTTAGAATCACTTTACCGAGTACAATGGCATTACAGCCACTAGACATATTTTATTATATACGCATAGAAATAATATTTAAAAATTTCTATTATTGTTAACCTCAAAAAAATACATAATAATATGTTTCATTTAATTTGTATAAATGCATTATAAAGCGTTTTTATCAAGAACATTTTGTTCGGAACACACTGTAACTGTAATCGAACAAAGGAAAAATTTTGGCATAAATTGGTAACACTTATTTGACAGTTGCGGTGTTGACACTTTTTGTACTTCATTATTTTGAATTTTAAAGTGAATATCTCTTGTTTTATATTTTTAACTATTTAATAAAATCTGTTCTTTTTAGAACAAAATTAGTGTGTTTTATTTCAAAAATGTCACGTAAGACTTTAAGTAGTCGTTGTAAAGAGATGGTAATACTTTTGCAATAATTATGTAATACATTTGATTTAAAATGGAGTCAGGATTTTTTTATACTTTGGCAACTATGTCAACTTCGATCTCTGACGCAGATAATGACGTAAGTCGTTATCTAAATTAGATGAAGTATAGAACACTAACAACTGTACGGAAATATCATTTCCTTACAGTAAGGAAATGGCATTTCCTTACAGTAAGGAAGTCCTGACTTTTTCTTCAAGAAATTTTGACAGGAATGTCAAAATTTCCTGGCGATTTGCGGAAAAATTTATTATTATAATTGCGTTTAAAAATAATTGTGAAAAGTGACGTTCTGTAATTTTTTTAATTATCACGTTTTCTACCTGGCGAAACTGATTCGTATGATTTCTCTTGTTGTTATTAGATGGCGTTGTTACGTCTGTAAATAGTTATTTCGATAATTATTGGTCTACGACGGGATAGATTTTGTTTCGATTTAGAGCAGTGGCACATACCGCTCTGATGTGACCTAAAGAGGTAAAAATACGTATAAGCGGCTTGCTGCTGCTCTGTTTGGAGTTGCTGCTGTTGTTTTATTTCTTTACTCTGTTTGGAGTACCAGAAACTGAATTCACTGCGAATTTTGACCATAATGAACGGCAGGTGGAATGCATATTTTAGATTCCCTTGCCGAGTAATTTATCAAGCTGTTTGACTTGCAAGTTTTAGAAGGCACAGTGGTAAAAATTTGAATTCCGTTTCGCCAGGTAGGAAATCGTAGGATAAACTAGTAATTTACGAGATAATTGGTCGTTTCCAGACCTTTGGGCCACTCTGTATATAAGTTATATTTTACAGCAAACAATTTTCGTAATTTTTGTTAATAGGTTGTTCAAGAAGCTCTAGATCAAGCTAAAAAAGGAAGGACATGTGTTACAATTGCGCACAGGTTAACAACCATACAAGATGCAGACTTGATATGTGTAGTAGAAAATGGTGTAATTGCTGAAGCCGGAAGCCATCAAGAACTTTTGCAAAAGGAGGGACTATACTACAAATTATATACTCAGAAAACGTAGAAATAATTTTTACATTGGTGGTAAATCTCGTAAAAAGTTAATTTTATTAATTTGGACATTAGATACATACACAATACCTGTTATACAAGGTGGTCCAGAATTATGTACATTAATTTCTAGAGCTCATAGTACGTCCAAAAAATAAGGGTACTTCTTTATGTACACTTTTTTATAAAACTAAATAATAAGGGAGATACAACCCTTTAAAGGGGTGAATTGAAATTCTTATTTTTTCAAATATCTTCCAAATGGTTTTGAATACGGAGTTCATATTTTTAAAGTGATTATAAGACATTAGGATAATTAATTTCATGTCACCACCTACCACATCCTATATTAATACTGGGTAGTTTTGGAGGGTAAGTGGGGGTTATTGCGTCACATGTTTTTTAATTTTTACATATTTTAAAAAAATATTTTAAAAATTGTTTCCCTAGACTTTTCTACGCAAAAAAGGTGCTCTTGTAATATTTCGATAGATATCACCGTTTTCGATTTATTTAAACTCGAAGGTATACATGTATTTTATTGTAATCGTTACATTTCTTATTATTCATCAAGTATGCTTTGGAATTGACACTTGTGTTAGCAATAATATTACAAATTAATGGAAATCTTAATTAATACTTAACATTTAATTAATGGCGAAAATAATATTTCACAACAACTGTTCAAAATGTCCTCCATTTTGTTGAATACATAATCTAATTCTTTTATTTAGCGAACGCATTAATCCATTTAATGTTACTGGATCGTTTTGTAAATCGGTAAATACTTATTCAATTTTGTCCCTTAACTCATTTACTGTATTAATTGGAGTGTTATACACTTTTGATTTCAAATAACTCCATACTGTAAAGTCCATTGGATTAAGATCACAACTACGAGCAGGCCAATGAATCGGTGCATCCGCACCCCGGCCTATCCACCTACCAGGGAAATGTTGTTCATGTAACCACCTTCTACAAATTCTTGTGTAATGTGGTGTAGCACCATCATGCATAAAAAACATGTTACTTCGTATTTGTAATGTAATATCTTCCAACATATCATGTAAAATATTGTCTAGAAAATTGTAATACATGTTACCATTTAAATTTCCGGGAAAGATGTGGTATCCTATGAAACTATTTGATAAAGTAGCTGCCCAAACGTTTATCTTGAACGTGTGTTGGAAGTGAGTTTCGATTGTAGCCCTTGGATTTTCTTCAGCCCAGAAGTGCATATTTCTAGAATTGAACATACCTTGTCTTGTAAATGTGGCGTCGTCTGTAAACAGAATGTTGCTTAAAAAATTTGGTGCAGTTTAAACTTAATTTTGTAATACTTCACAAAAATCAACTTTAAGTGGCATATCGTCAGGTAACAATTCCTGCACCTGTCGATAGTGGTAAGGATGTAATTGCTCTTCATGCAGAACTCTTAAAACACTTTGATGGGAAATATGCGTTCTTAATCCTAACCTGCGTATACTTATTGTGGGCTCATTTATTACAGCATCCAATATTTGCTGTTCAACGCGAACATTTCTTGCTTCTCTACGACGACCAGCATCTGTATTCCTTCTTTGAAGACAACCGGTTTCTCTCAGTCGTCGTTCAGTACTTACAAAAGTCCTGGCATTATTAATAATTAATACTAAAGTATGTCTGTCATCTCAGAATTTGAATAGTATGCCATGTTGCGGGCAAACAAATTTAAAAATATAGCAAAAGAGATGTGTTAAACAAATTTCACTGTCGAGTACAATAAAAGTGTAGATAAAATAATTTAATTGTTATTAAACGTCACTGACAATTCATAGACTACTTGAGATTAAAGTGTTGTTGCTAACACAAATGTTAATTCCAAAGCATACTTGATGAATATTAAGAAATGTAACGATTACAATAAAATACATGTATACCTTCGAGTTTAAATACATCGAAAACGGTGATATCTATCGAAATATTACAAGAGCACCTTTTTTGCGTAGAAAAGTCTAAGGAAACAATTTTTAAAATATTTTTTTTAAATATGTAAAAATTAAAAAACATGTGACGCAATAACCCCCACTTACCCTCCAAAACTACCCTGTATTAATATAGGATGTGGTAGGTGGTAACATGAAATTAATTATCCTAATGTCTTATAATCACTCCCAAAATATGAACTCCGTATTCAAAACCGTTTGGAAGATATTTGAAAAAATAAGAATTTCAATTCACTCCTTTAAAGGGTTGTATCTCCCTTATTATTCAGTTTTATAAAAAAGTGTATATAAAGAAGTACCCTTATTTTTGGACGTACTATGAGCTCTAGAAATTAATGTACATAATTCTGGACCACCTTGTATTTCTAAATTTTAAGTTTCTATTATTTTAAATTGGCATATCTTTGATAGTATCAGTGCAATTTTGTCTTTTTGACATTCATTGTTAACCCTTTTTCTTCACTAGCTGAGACTACCTTGTTTAAAATGGCTTACACGTCTTCTACTATCTCCGCTATTAAAACCGTATAATCTGCGTATCTAATATTATTAATTGGTTGGCCGTTAACTTTTATCCCAATCTCTTCTTCCTCCAACGCTTTCTTCATATTTTTTTCCGAATAGAGATTAAACAGCATTGGTGACAGAACACATCCTTGTCTAACCCCTTTTTTAATTTAAATTTCATTTGTTGTGCTATTTTCGATGCGTGCGACTGCCTTCTAATTATAATACAGAGTAGATATTATTCTTATATCGCGAGTGTCTAACTGATTAGCTTTCAAGATCTCTAAAAGTTGGTCATGCTTGACGTTATCAAACGCCTTGTTGTAATTAATGAAACAACTAAATACATCTTGATTCACATCCAAACACCTCTGTGTCAAGATGTTCTTATTCTTCTTCTGGTTCCTATCCGTTTCGGATGTTGGAAATCATATTGGCAATCATAACCTTGCTCGCTGCGGCTTGAAACAGCTCCGTTGAGGTTTTCTTAAACCATGTTCTTAAATTCCGCAGCCATGATATTCTCCTTCTACCGGTCCTCGCTTACCTTTGACTTTACCTTGCAATATAGACTGTAGCAGGGAGTAACTGTGCTGATTTCTCTCAACGTGTCCCAGATATTGCAATTTTATGCGTTTGATCGTAAACACAATCTCTGGTTCCTTCTTCATTTTTCCTAGAACTTCCTTGTTCGTGATCCTTGGTGTCCATGATATTCTCAGTATTCTTCTATAAAGTCAAGATGTTAAAGGCAAATAATGCTTCCCAAGTTCCATATCCCTCCCGGAATCCAAACTGAGTTTCTCCGATATCTTCTTCCAATTTTCTGTAAATTCTATTGTGAATTATTTTGAGTAATATTTTTAAGGTATGGCTCATCAGACTGATCGTGCGATGATCACTGCACTGCTTAGCATGTGCCTTCTTGGGAAGAGGGACAAAGGTTGATCTTAGCCATTCTTCAGGAATTATACTGTTTTCATAAATCTTGTTAAATAAGTCAACTAACAAATGGATTCCATCTTTGTCTATCAACTTTAGTATATCCGCTGGTAGCTCCTCTGGTCCTGAAGCTTTGCTATTCTTTGATGACTTCACCGCTTGCATTACTTCTGCTTTGCTTATTTCTGGACCTGTCTCCTCTGGAAAATTATCACAAAGAGGCTGCCTTTGATCGTAAAACAGTTCTTCTATGTATGTCTGCCAATGTTTTAGTTTCTCCTCTGTTTTCATTATCATGTTCCCTTGTTGGTCTATAAGTACTGTCTGCTTCCTGTTTCTATTGTTGATCATTTCTTTAACTTTCTTGTGAAGATAGAACGAATCATATTTGGCTTCCAAGTTTTCAATTTCCTTACATTTGTCTTGTAACCATTGTTTTTTAACGTCGCGGATTTTTCTTTTGATCTCTGTGTTAATTTGCTTATACTGTTCTTCATTATTACCTTTCCATAGTCTTCGAGAATTCATCAATAATTCTGTTTCTTTGGTTTTTCCCTCTTCAGAATATTTTTAGCGGGCTCCAGTACGTTCTTTTTAATAATGGCCCATTGTTTATTAATGTCTAGTTCTGGTATCTTTTCTGTCTTTTCAAGTTTTTCAATATTTGCCTGAATGCTTGTTTCTACCTGATCTTAATTGTTTCATCATTTAAACGATTGATATATATTACTTGTTTGAGCTTAGGTGTTTGTGCTCTTTTAAGTTTTATTCGGAATTAATTTTATTTAGATCAGTCAATTTCCGAGTGTCTCCTTCATTTTAAATTTTGGGACTTAGTGGTTCTTAGTGTTTTCATAACTGTATCACTCAGAAACCTGAATTAAAAGCTTAAGACTTAAAAATTAAATAAGGGTTAAATATTAAGATTACATTTTAAATGTATTTATCATACTGCGAAAATATTTAGGATATTAATTATTTACGAGATAAAAATTAAATGCAAAAAGATAGACATTGCAGCGACAAGAAAGAAGTTATAGTATTAAATATATTTTGTATATTTTTGTTTTATTTTTATATGTATATACTTTGTTTTGTATGTAATATATGTATTTGATATAATATGTTGTTTTTACCAAACGTACCTCCACGATAATGCTAGACCGCACACAGTAACGCCAACTGCCGAATTTTACTTTCTGCTAGATTGATACAGTCCAATACGCGCATGCGTTGTAGGAAATGTGAGACGAGGAGGCAAAACTGTGATTCATTACTTACCATAGCAAATAATATGATTTTTATGTAGCAAATTAAAAATAAACGTTCCTATAACAAACATGTCAAAAAATTAAATTTTTTACTCTTGGAACATGCCAACGTTCCCATTTTGGAAACATACAGTGGTGAGTGCTTTATCATCCGGCTTTTTAACGTAAGAGATAGAAAACACAGTTACCTTGTGAAATAAAAAGAGATGAAACTCCTAGAGGTGGGAAATAATCGATAGAAACCTATAATTTACATTACATTGCATTAATACTATCGATAGTCTCACACCTTTAGACGTTAGCTTCCA